GACGGACCAACGTCTCTGTTTCCAGATTCCATGGTGGGGGAGATGGTCGTCGAGGCTGGGAAGAACGTGACGCTGAATTGTCCCGGTGTGACGGAGAACTCTCTCATACTGATGCTCGAATGGCGGGTTAACAGTATGCAGTTGCTCGAGTACAGCAGCAACACCACGATAGTGTGGAACCACCAGAACAGGGTTTCGTTGTCGTTGAAGAACTACTCGCTCCAGTTTCATCCGGTCACCGCGCAGGACACCGGCGAGTACACTTGCTTGGTGAACAGTCGCAGTATGCCGGAAGCTGTCATCAGTCTCATAGTTCACGGTGAGTTCCCTTTTTTTTTTTATTGCGTTTTTTAAAATTGACTCGATTTTGATTCGAACACGACGTTGAAGAGATGCTTTCATCTCGTAAAAAAAAAAAGAAAAAAAAAGAAAAAAAAATTGTCGAGTAGAATTGGCCTGAAAGGTAAATCGAACTGATATAAAATGCCATAGATATAAAAGCACAGAGTGGGGAGGGATTAAATCGAAACGATATATTCATTCGTATAACACGAGCTCTCTTTTTCTCGTTGAAAAAAAAGGAAGTCCATACGAATTGAAATGAACCGAGAATCGGGTAAATGTGCGCATCGTAAAAATAATCATGGAAAATCCCGGCAAGTCCCTCTATTTAGCCCGTCAGGATCGTCCCCTCTCTCTCTCTCTCTCTGTCTCTCGGCAAGTAAATTAAAAATTAACCCGGTCTCGCGTCCCTCGTCACTTGGCGCATCGCCAACGAGCCAAACGGGTCGCTACATTTGCGTTTTAACCTTGATGTACCATAATTCCTTCCTCGTTCTGTTTAAAGCTGTTCGAATATCGTTCGCGAAAAAATCAAGAGGCGAGGCGCTGTGATGCGTCGCGCGATGATCGATGATTCGTTATGCAAGTGGGACGCGGCCGGGTCATGCGCCGAATTTCACCGATCTTATTATTTTAAAGGGTCCTCCGAGAAAGAGTGGCGGTCGCGTAACTAACGAAGGCAATTTTCGAGTGTTACCGCCGTGTGCCGCGCCGCTCGCCCCTGCGGTAACCGAGCTCCCGGCAACTTCAACCCCTTCCTTCCACGATATTGGATAAACTTGCGAGCCAGCGGGAGGAAGGAGGGGGTTAAATTTCCGGCGTAATGTCAAGGCAATTTACATGGTCGTTCGGTATAATCCGGCAAACTCCCGGCCGAAAGACCATCGAAATTGTACACCGGCCGTTATCGAGAGGTTTTTCGATCTTTTCGTTACGATCGAGTTACCGCGCGTTCGAGAAGCCCGCCCGTCGATAAATCGTCCCTCCCTCTCGAAGAAAGGAACGGCGACGCTTGTTCGGCGGAGGAAAATCCCTCCCCTCCTCGCTTCTGCGAGGACCAAGTCAGCGTTTCCAACTTTGGAATGCGCTTCCTCTGTTTCCCCCCTTGTTAAAAATGAAGGAAACTTTTCTTGGTTCGCTTTTAGCGCGAGCAGTAGGACTTGTGCGCGCAGAAGGAGTCCCGCGGCTGTTGGGAATTCGCTACGAGTTGCTCGACGAGTGTCTCGCTTCGAATCCCGATGGAAACTAAAAATTCCTAGCAGTTAAGAATTATCTCCAAACGTTTCCCTCCCCTCGAAACACCCGTTTTTCCGTCTCGTCTCGTCTCGTGTCTCTCGCGTGGGAGGGAAATTAATCGATCCCACAACTGGCGCGCAATGGGTGTTCTTTTCTCTCGTTCGTTCCTCGCCTCGAGTGTCTGGTAATTTGTGTTTATTGAACCGGTTCCCCTTGAAAGTTGGCCGAGTTTGTACACAGTTCGCACAACGGTCGAAACAAAAGAGCGAGAGGAGGGGAAATGGATCGGGTGGAGGAGAGGAGAAGGGAAAAGAGAGAGAGAGGGTTGACGTCGCAGCTTCCCAACGCTTTATTTCAGGCCCGAGTTTCTTTACTCGTCGCGAAGTGTTTGCACCAAGTATTTACGGCTGATTTGAATTCGTCACGTGTTACCTACCGCGTCAAAAGCTAACTTTTCCGGTCGTCCCATAGGCGCCGGAATCATGGGAGTTCTCGTTAAAACTTCGCCCCGCATAACTTGGCTCCAAGTTTTGCACGCGCGCGCGCGCATCTGCCCCGAAAGACAGAGAAAAACGAGAGGAAGGTGGGAGAAAAAGGGAAAACGAGACCCCTATCGCGTTATGTCTCGATCATTTGCATTCAATGCACGAACCGCGACTCCATTTGAATAAGAAGTTTCCCGTGGTTGAAACGAACTGCTTCGAAAAAAAAATAAATTCAATATTTTTCTCGTAGATTCTTTCTCCC